GTAAATAATGAGAAATATACATATTCAGTTTATGGATTACCACTCGCGTTGCAGGTAATGTTTTTAAAATTACAATTTATTATTCATTCTATTTAGATTGTAATATTATGAATCTTATGCAGATTTGGACTTATAATAATTTATATCTATGCCAAACTCCTGACGAATATCATTTTGAATGTTCGAAGGTCTGTATATAATGTTGAGATCCTCAAACTTCGACATGATGTGTTTTCCAATCATCCAACAACTAGTTTGTCTATGATCTTTGTGGCAAACATCCAGTGAACAATTATGGTAACGTAAATACTTTCGAATCTCAAATTCATCACTTTCCTTCAACTGTGTTGCCCGCAAACGTCATTTGCAAATTTTCTCAACACAAACTACTACATAGGTACTCTTATTTGACTTAGTGACCTTAAATTCAAAAGAGTTTCTTAAAGCAAGTATTTGTAGTGAAACCTGGAGATCCTTCTTGTTGCGAAAAATTTGGCTAACATGTACATCATCAACGTCAGGAATCTTGACAGATGTTCCACAAGGATTTGGACAAACAACAACTTGTGAAATGCTAATAATCTCATATGTCAATGTAAATGTTGTATGAGTAACATTGTCTTCATTCATTACATGAGAATCATCTTCGTGGTTGTTACTCATTATTTCCACCCCATCCCAATAATCATCACTTGTAAAGTTCACATAATCATTTTCACAATTTTGATTAAATGGAGACAGTGATTGCATATAACTGTCACCGGACTTTTTTTTTTTTTGTATATTGCATTCATCCACATCTTCCACATTAGCTACAACAACTTTAGAATTGTATTCACGATTCTCCTGAATATTTACCATATCAAAGTACATGTCTTGTTGATCATCAACATAACCCGTTTCTACAAAAGTTACACAAATTGGAACTTGGTCGTGCAAAGAGAGAAACCAACTAACATCCATACTTCATTGGTGGAACTGATAAGTTTGCCATGCTAGGCACAAGAAATTTCATCTTGATGACATACATAACAGAATCAACATTGATCGTTTTTTTTATTTTCTCATACAACTCCATATATGAAGTATTTTTCGATGCGAAAATATTTGTTGCAGTGTCTTGATCTTTCCCTATCCATTTCCAAATCCATCCACATTGATCACTCTTTTCGAATTCAACAAAATAACAAATGACAATCATTGCGCCAGAGTCCATATCTACAATTCACCAAAAAAATATGTAATATATTATTCCATTAATTATCAAACCGGCTACTATAAAATACAGCTTCAATAATAAACAAAAGATATTATTACATAACAGATTTAAAGTTGATAAAAGGGCATTCTGTAGTTTAAAACATGTATGCGCCATTTAAATCTATTTAAAATAATATAATGCCATAAAGAATCAAGGAATGACTAATTGGCAAAACAACTACATCAATGTCATCATTATCAAATTACGACAGCACCCAGTTACAGAAAAAACGGCATCATTCCATTTTTATATTTCACAGCAAATTTTGCTCACCCAATTGATTTTTTTATGGTACACAACTAGATAATAACAAGAAATTGTTAATTTCTCAATTGTTTGAAATCGATTTTTGCTCACCCACTTCCAAAATTTGCAGTGTTTGATTTGTTCTTATTTGAAATAAAGAAACTTCATACTGTAGATAATGTATATAAAGAAGAAGAAAGTTGAATTTGCAAATGGGTCTAAATAAGTGTAAGCGGTCCGGTTTTTGCGGTTTTTGACAAATTTTCAAACCAAACCGTTTTGACCTGTTTGAAAAAAACTCAAACCTAAACCAAACCGTTTTGACCGATTTAAAAAAAA